TTCGTGCGGGAGGGAGGAGGGGAAAACTGAATTCAGATGAGGATTAAGAGTCGAGAACGGTACAACGAATCGTCTTCTTTCTCTAATGATTTAATGAAACGTAAAAGCTTCCGAGCTTTGCGCGGGAGAGGGGGATGAATTAAGACGAGGATTAAGAGTAAAAAACTGTACAACGAATCGTCTTCTTTTTCTAATGATTTAATGAAACGTAAAAACTTCCGCGCTTCGCGCGGGAGGGGAAAAACTATTTTCAGACGAGTAGGCACGTACGGAAGGGGGGGAGGGGGTTAGGGGGTTGACCCTCCCCCCTTCGGTTTTTTATGTGTGTATTTTGGAGCAACCACCCCCCCCCCCCTTTTCTGTGATTTTTTTTTTTTTTTTTAAATTTAAAAAAAAATAAAAAAAAATATGCCAATGGCTGACCTAAAAAAGGTGACCTCACCCCCCCCCCCCCCCCAACGGAACAAAAAGACAATTTTTCAAATTTCGAGACCAAAAAAGTGTCCTCTTCCCCTCCCTGCTTATTTAGCGGCTGGCTGAGTCGTTACGATTTTTTTCGGACAAAAAAAAAAAAGTGGGCCCCCCCCAAGAAATTCTGGATCCGCGCCTGTTTACGAGACTCTAGAAAAGTAGAATAAAAAATGGCTGAGAAAAGGTATTTTGCCTAAAATTCCACGTCACAATAAACAAAAAATATTGATAAACTATCACATTACGGTATCCTTCAACTTTTGATTCGACTGTCAAAAAAAAACACTCACCGGTTTTTCTTCAATTTAAGAATCTTTACAGAACTATGCAAATCGTTTGATGATCTACATTTGATAATGACACTATTTATTATTTATTTTAGGAGAATTTATATGTATTAGACCCTAGACCCTATGTATATATTTCTTTTTGAACAATTTTAGCCCCAAAACTTGTTTTGGGTTATTCTTGATCAATCAAATGGATCGTGACAAAGACTATGTTCTTGAGCTGCTAGTAAGTAGTATCGCAATATATCGATATCATGTCTGTCATGGCTTTGTGAAACGGTTTATCCACTTCATGACATCTCCGTAGGTCGCCGACAAAGATATGACTGTCATGGAGTTGGTTTCGAGAAACGGCCCCCCGCTCTTTCATACAACACCTAACTTAGTGAGTATCACCTTCACGATCACGAGCAGTATTGGTTTGAATCTCAATTTTGGTAACAAAAACATTAACCAATTTTGCATGAGCGCGCAATGCACATGGACTGCATAGGGTGTTTGCAATCTCTATGGAAAGGATTTTAGCACACAAAACCATGTGTTAAGTTTAATCAAAATCAATGAAAATGCGTCAAATTGTTTAGTGTTAGTTTGAGTAATTTGCCATTGAGAAACAGAATGTGAGAAAGCCTGGAAAACGGCGTTCCATCTTGACCCGACCCGAAAAGAACTAGATCTAGCCGGTCAGTTCAAGACAGATCATTGACACTCTACCCGGCATTACATTGCAAGGCGAAGGGTTATAAATATCACCCCAGCAGGTCAGGCGTAATGAGATGTCAGTAACCGCACAGCATTTTATTTTTTCTGCAGAGCCCTACGTTAGTTGTTTTTTTCGTAAGAAATCTACATACCTTTTCAAATATCTTGCATCCTCAGCCTGCATTTTCTCTCTTCTTTACCAACAGTCAGTCAGAATTGTTGTCGGGTAGTTTCATAACATATGTTCCGTGAAAACATGTATTTTCTCCATCCACTAGAATTTGATTCAGTTCATTAGGGAATGTACGCTATGCATTATGGGAAATGTTGTGATACAAAAACACTAGTCTGTAATTCAGACAGAGTCGTTAGGTCTACTTTGTCAACAATTTGTATGCGGATTGCTCACATGGATTTATAAAGTGATCAAGAATGACGTCATCCAAAAACTGTTTTCAGATTTTCCATATTTGAACTTCATTTTCCGAAAGAGCATAAAAATAATGTCCAAATGTTGAAAAACAATTGAATATTTATTTGAAATTTTGAATAGGAAATCACTGTTAAAAAGGTGCTATTTTGCTCTGGTTCATTATATTACGAAAATACGAACCAGATCAAAATAACAGTAATTTCCTACTGAAATCTTTTTATTCGGATGGGCATACATATCTCAGCCAATTAATACGTCACATATTCAATGGTTTTTAATTTTGGACATTATTGTATATGCTCTTTCGGAAAATGAAGTTCAATTTGTGAAATTCTAAAAATAGATGTTTATGATGTCACAGCTTATAACCTTTTATGGTATCAGTCCCGTAAGTAGAATAACACCCCCCCCCCCCCACGGTACGGCTGCGGCTATGTAACGCCACTGCCGTTGGACACAACTATAATCAAAATAATATACAAGGGGCAGATGAAATAGAATCGTGAGATATAGGCCTATAGTTACAGTTTACTTTATTTTCTGATGTGATGGCATATAGAGGATGTGAGGGGGGGGGGGGGCTGCGGATCACAGCATGCTGCTGTCTCATACGTCTATAATGCCTGCAAGACAATCACATCAACCTACACCCCCCCCCCTCCCGCCCCTAACATCCTCTATTCCATATGCATGAATTCCCCTAGCTTTCAACCGTAATAATAATTCCACAGCCTGAGTCCATGCTCTTCATACAGTATAGCCGTCGCCACATTTTATATTAAATGAATTGCCTTTCTGATGTAGTATTGCTTCGAGGTATGGACATTGATTAGTGGGGCCTGTATACGTTGATAATCATCTACCGTGATTAAAAGCAATTAATTACATGTCATCTCTTGTATCTTATTGTACTTTATGGGTAATGTATTGTATGTACTCATTAAATAGTGGGTCCAGTCATGACGGGGGGGGGGGGGGGGGGGGGGGGGGGTGGGGGAGGGCATTGGTCCATGATTATTTTTCTTCTCACATTCTGTTTATTCTCACTCCAGTCTCTCTCTCTCTCTCTCTCTCTCTCTCTCTCATTCCCCTTTCACTTTTGCTATTCGATTGTGATTGTGCATGGGCACATTTTCTCCCTTATGCACACGTCACTGATAATCAGCTAAAACAAAAAGGAAGAAAAAGAACAAATCAGAAATTCGAGCAATTATTGTGACGATTGTGAGAAGAAAAACCATTTCCCCAGCGCTATTATTGATGAGCACTAAAGTGGCGTGAGGGGAAGCCCTATACTAAACATAATCATAAAATGAAATGTAATGTGGTTGAATTATCTTTAATCTTTGTAGAAACGTAAGTATTATAACATATCTCCAGACCAAAATAATGACGGTCATATTCATTATTAAAACTTAAAAGAAAGAGGGGTTTTCCTTTTTTATTTTCTGTTGTTTTTGTTGTTGTTGTGGTTGTTTTGTCTTTCTTGTTTGCGCCTCATAAACAGCGCAGAGCAAAATTGGCAACAATCTTGAGGAGACGTATTCTGTATAATGTTGTGCTTCTTGTCCCAGTTATTATGTCGTCGATAACAATTAGAAATGATTTTGCATCTTTAACGCCTCCCCCCCCCCCAAAAAAAAAAAGAAGACTGCCTAAAGGTGATTTTGCTCACATGTGCATCATAGTACTCAGATTATGTCTGCACATGGATTATCATACAACATTCAAAAGCAGCATGCATCCACACAACATATGCAACAACTATGTACAACATCTTTGAACCATGCTATGCTCTAAAAATATTAACATAACGTTATTCTAACTCAATTAAGACAGGGCGGTATGTTAAAGCATGGACCTACTACGAGTAGTAAATCCATGGTTAAAGTCTCTTCTTGTAGCATCATTTATGGCATCACGACTTGGCGTGCCCTTATATTATATGACTGCGGCCCATAAAACACATGCAATATAATTGAATGTAAAGTATAACATCTTTGAACCCTAATTTGATCTCTACCTCTAAAAATAGTGTATTCTAATTCAAGACGAGACTTAAAACCTCCTCTTCATGCATCTATACTCTAATATAACACTCCCCGTCATGGTTTGCCCTATACCACCGCGGCCCCGTGATGAATTATTCACCGAATTCGTTCACTCAGTACAAGTATTCGAGGGGCCACTGCCTGGGGATCATGGGATGCAATCCATGCAGTGATGATGTGCATACGTAGCAACACATTCGACTCATTGCCTTCAACAGTAACTTGCCGCTACAAACTGTACACGTATACTCTCAAACACTACGTATATACGTGATATATTTTGTAAATAATATATCAACTGCCTTGCCTTCTGATAAACGCTTGGGCTGCTGTATTTTGAAACAGTAAAGGAAATTATGCGATGACGATGAACTGCATGTAGCCTGTAGTACCTGTTTTGGTTATTATTTTGATATACACAATAACACTAATTACATTAATGTTTAAGTCAGATATTACCCCAGTGCACGTTTCAATGAGTGATTTTTTAGCACAAAGAATTTGTATGAATCAGTAATGTCACAAAATATGCCCCAAACACTATTTCGTTTAAATGTAATGTTCTACTACAAGTTTGATGACCATTTTGATAGACATGATTTTTGCTATCAATATCTTGCCGAATTCTATCGTGGCTTTTTCAATAAAAGTTCAATTTCAACAAAATACCTTAAAAGTTATTTAATGTACGGCAAATTTACCGCAGAAGAAATGTGAATACCCCCTCCAGTGCCGGATAAGCTTTGAATATCAAAACCCCAGTAAACATTTAAAGATATTCTGGAAACTCAAAATTTCTATTTCATGTCCGAATAAACAGATCAATACAGTTTCAGGTAAACAAGTCTATTGAATTATACTCATCACAAAGTTAAAATCAAATTATGTATTATCCTTTTGATAATGATAATGTTCTTTTGTAATTCAGCAATTCTCGATGAAGCGATTGACGTTCAATAACGTTTAGCGGCAACAACGCCAAGTGACAAAGTCAATTATCAATAATTGGCTTTTAGTATTTAATTTATTAAGATTAATGAGTGATGAATTTACCTGACAGTAAAAATACGTGATCCATCTCTATCCAAATCCTTTCCGGTAATTCCTTCTTCACTGTGCCCACTTTCACTTCTTTCCAGAGACGGTGCGAACGCCATGTAGGAGAAAATTGACAATAATGTTCATTGGCGGTAAAGTGCAACGCAGGTCTGTATCGTCTCCAAGAAGTGCTCTATGTGTAGTCTGCTTCAAATCCCGACGAATCACAGAGTCGCCTGCACAAACAAATCCTCCGAATTTAAAGAATCGTATGACCAACTGGCCAATTGTCACTTCTGATCATTTCAAGCTTATAGTTTGACATTTATAGGCGAGATCGCGTTGTTTATAACACGGGATATAATATGATGTTTTCCGAAAATGATGTGTTCACATTTTATTGGCGCCACGATGCAACACAAATTGTCAGTGTTATATTTTCAGTATTTCAGATTCACTGCTGGCGAACGAAGAGCTAACGTTTAGGCTCAAGTCTTCGTGCAAAATAAGAACATAATTATGAGTCACATAGACATGTTAGTGAGGCAGGCAAATTAGAGATGTTCGATTGAGCAACGTCTTCGAAATAAAAGCGCAATGTTTTCAGCATAATGCCTGCATACATCGGTAGCAGATGCATCATGTATCCACCGTTCCATGGAGAAATTAGTCGAACGGTATATATGACAACTTCAATACCCCCCTGGGGCATATGGGGAAAGTCTTAAGTAATTACTCCATATACAGCCATACTTAAAAATGCAAATGGTTTAGTGCGCCGTTTGCATGACCTGGACACAAACCGTCTGATCGTGAGTGCATTATACAAAGGAATCAGGCCAGATTAAATTAATGACAAGTTTCTCGTTCCATTATTGTTCCTTCTTTCAGCCTGCCTTGTTTGTGTTTCTTTTTGTTATTTGATAATTTTAAATGAAAATAGATTACAATATGAGGGCAACTATAGAAAATTAGAGAATAATACATTCCTTATTGTTTTGAGCCCTTAAAATCCATGTACAAATTAAATACAATCAATAAAAAAATTCTCGAATTTCACCCAGCAGCATGTTGTGTGTTCACGAAAAGTATCGGTTTACCTTACAATATGAAAATCTCAGTTGCCATTAATTTTATCGTGTTCTATTATGTATTGTTCACATATTGTGTATATAATAATCATTATGAACATGTTTTACTTATGACAAGCTGCCAGTTCAAGTTTAGCTCATGACGACCCCTTTTCTCTATGTGGAATTTTATTAGACATAATTATGATGTTAACAAACTATAAATTTGTGATGATGTATATTGAAAATGAATGAACATCAACCAATGATTTATCAAATATCAAATAACATAAGACTCCCTCCTTTCATTTTTTCGAAAAAATCGAACAAGAAACTAGGAATCAATTTATTTGGCCTTATACTCCATTTCTCTTTTCCCTTTGATTCGAGGCTCTTAAATTATTCATCGAAGTTAACAGGTGAGCTTTGCAAAGGGAAGACAGAAATAACTAGCAAACCTAGTTTCCTTCTCACGTACTTCAAATAACATGCAACCTGTTCCACTTTGCCCAAATAACAGGTCAACATATTGTCCTCGTTTACATTTTGTCAGCTTACGGGTAATAACAAAAACTGATGATATTATTATGCTCTTGCCTTTGCTTTGTAATACCACTTTTGTTCTCGAACTTTATATAGCCAACCATAAAGGCCCGAATTCACAAAGGAGGTTTGTCGACAAACCTTGGTTTTCGTGCGTCATATGACGCGTTTCGACGCGTTTTTACAAACCAGGTTTGGTTTGTAAAAAAGGTTTGTAAAACCAGGTTTGTAAAAAACGCGTCAAAACGCGTCATATGACGTACATAAACCTCGGTTTGTTGACAAACCTCCTTTGTGAATTCGGGCCAAAGTATCTGATTGAGAACGGTATACACGACCAGTTCTTTTTGTATTTTTTTTCCTTCCCATTCCTGAAGAGATCATCTTCGTTTATATTCCAATAGTATTTTCATAATTATGTATGTAAGCACTATCATCGACTAGATCTTGAGCAAAATCAAATCATGATGTATTTTTTTGTAACAATGATGAAGACGAAGGATGCCGGGGGAGGGGGTTACATGCATGTCACCAATTGAATGGCGATAGTACACACACAAAACAGAAAGAAAGCGAGGGAGAATTTGGGAGAGAGAGAGAAAGAGAAAGAGAATGGGAGGAAAAGATAGAGGCCATTTTGCTCGCCACTCCCTTCCCCCCCCTCTCTCTCTCTCTCTCTCTCTCTCTCTTCGTTCTCTTTCTCTCTCTCTCTCTTCGTTCTCTTTCTCTCTCTCTATCTCCGTTTTCTCTCTGTGTCCCTCTCTCACTCAGAACACCTCAACACTCTCACATTCCCGTATTCGCTCTCTTCCTCTCTATCCCTCTCTGTGTCTCTCATTGTCACTTTCTGTTTCTGTATATTGATCTCAGTTGAACACAGGTGACATGCCTCATCGAAAATTCTCATTGCCTCCTCTCTTTCTGTCTCTTTCTTCTTCATTATCTCTCTTGTCACGATCTCTTGTTCATCTTTCTCTATAATACCTATTTCTCTCCCTCTCCCTCTCTCTCTCAATCTGTAGTGGGGGGGGGGGGGGGGGGTACTTACATAAATATATTATGACATGCGGAGATGTGCCGCTCTAATGGGTCGCTTTTTCATACACACAAAATCCTAAACATGGGTCCCATTTTTTACAAAAATAACTTTAAACATGGGACTCTTGTTCCACTATTTCCAGTATTTTCCGGGGATTTGAATGGCGAATACCCGAAAATTGTCAAAAATGGGCCTGTATTTCGCAAAAGAACCCTAAAATGGGTACCATTTTCTGCCAAAATGACCCTTTAAAATGGATGGAAAATTGAGCGGCACACCCCCATCCAAACTAAATTTGAGTACAACCCCCCCCCCCCCCCGGGCTCCCTCTTCATCTCTCTGGTCTACTCCTTTTGACATCCATAATTATGTAGGAACACTTTCTCTTTCTTTTCCCCTCTTAAAATACCATATATGATAAAGGTCAGATAATTATGTAGGCCTACTGTAAGATGTACAAGTTTTTTCCTGTGCTTATCAAATCAGTAATAAACTTTATTCACTATATCATAATGTATACACATAAACATTTTCTATGAAAAATAATTTTTATACCAAATAAAACTACTAATAGGGTAAAATTTAAAATGAAAGAAAATGTTCATGTATATAAATATTCAATGTTCTGGAATAGGCATAATGCTTTGAACTTATATTGCCCGAACAAATGCTGCTCTTGACGTCCAAAATATTTGCTCGTGGCTTGACCGACATTTTTTCATTTCTTTTCATTTATTTCCACAATAACAGCAAATAAAATTGACAAAGTCATTCCAATTAAAATATTAACAAACGAGAAATGCACATATGGTTCATGCAATGCAGTAAAAGTATACAATAGAGACTAAGAAAATGTTTGCTTGCTATATTAAGGTGGAAACTTAGGAAAGCATAGCTTGTAATTCAGGTTCCCTAACATAAACTATCATAGTACAATGTATCATAAAGTAGAAAATACAAGGAAAAGATGGGGAAAACGGGACGAAACAAAACAAGACAATACAATCATGACAAGACAAGCACAAGAACACAAACACAAGTAAGGGACACTGAAGTTAGCATTCTGCAGCTATCATGCATTAAAAGCATTGCGCGACATTGGTTGCTATAAATCAAATTCCAACGTAAAATATGTACTGTAAACATGAATAATGGCTTACATTTGAAGCAAATGAGCATAATGTTACATATATTCTTTAAAACTTAAAACTAGCTTTAACTTCAGATTACGTTTAAATGCAACATACTTGGTGAGACTAATCGAGAGAATTCCAAAAGATCGGGCCAGCGTAAATTAAGGTTTTCTGTTTACAAAGAGTTCTTAACATTGGAATATGGTAATAAGAAGATTGTCTCGTTGGGTAATCGTGGAATCTCTCATATTTTTTAAAAACAACAAAGTTAATGCATGAGGCAACTCGTTCAGTTTCAGTCGATACACAATACAACCCAGACGCAGATTATATAAATCAAATATTTTTTGAACAATAATGGAATAAAACAATTGATCTGAAAGGGCCAACCTGTTCTTATGACAAATGATTATCATTGCCCTGTTTTGAAGCAACAATAAATAATCCAGTTGATTTTTGGAGGAGTTGCCCCATGCTAATATCCCATAATTTTAAGGTTAAAATTACACTTGGCCCGACATGTAAAAGAAAGTCTATTGCAAAACCATCTCATCAATAGTAGGCCAACCACTGCCTGATACGATGAGTTGGCTTATTGTCCGGGATGACCTGAGTAAATACCTGCGTGTATTTTAGCCATGATGGGAGAGCATGTCTTCTGCAACTCTTTCAACTTGAACGAGAATTCTTCCTTCTTTGCCAAAGGGTTGCTATCCATCCAAGTAATGACGTCATCAACTGCGTTTGTTACAACTTCCTTGTCGCTGGAGCTAAGCTTGCTCTCTACCGATGCGTTATTGATTGCGGACTTCACGTTGTAGGCATAGCACTCGAGTTGGTTGCTGGCTGCGATGCGTTCCCGGTGAGCATCATCTTCGGCCTTGAATCTCTCGGCATCGTTGATCATACGCTCGATTTCTTCTTTAGAGATCCTTCCGCTGTCGTTGGTGATGGTGATCTTTTCGCTACGACCTGTGCTCTCGTCCTTGGCAGTGACGTCCATGATGCCGTTGGCGTCGATGTCGAAAGAGACTTTGATCGTAGGGACGCCCCGAGGTGCAGGAGGGATACCGGAAAACCGAAACTGGCCAAGTCGATTGTTTTCTTTAGTCAGAGCTCTTTCTCCTTCAAACACTTTGAAGGTAATGGCAGACTGGTTGTCAGCAACAGTAACGAAGTTTTCGGTTGCCTTTGTAGGGATTGTTGTGTTCCTATCAATGAGCTTTGCCATCACACCTCCTATTGTTTCAATGCCAAGAGAGAGCGGAGCCACATCGACGAGAATAACGTCTTTTATTTCTTCGCTTGGGTCACCAGAGAGGATGGCAGCTTGGACAGCAGCACCATAGGCGACAGCTTCATCTGGATTGATAGACTTGTTCAGATCCTTGCCGTTGAGGTATTCCTGGAGAAGCTTCTGGATCTTCGGGATTCGTGTTGATCCACCGACAAGTACCACCGTGTCAATCTTGTTCTTGTCGATCTTAGCATCAACGATGGCCCTCTCTACTGGCTGCAGACACTTTTTGAAGAGATCTGAACACAGCTCCTCAAATCGTGCTCTGCTGACACTGGTGGAGAAGTCGATACCTTCGTAGAGTGAGTCAACTTGGAAGTATGCTGAAGCACTGCTTGACAGTGTTCTCTTTGCTCGCTCTGCTGCTGTTCGGAGGCGGCGGAGCGATCTTGGGTTGGAGCTCATGTCTTTCTTATGCTTTCGCTTGAACTCCTCGGCAAGATAATGGACTAGTCTGTCATCGAAGTCTTCTCCTCCGAGATGTGTATCACCGGCTGTCGAAATTACTTCGAAGATCCCATCATCAATGACCAGGATCGAGACATCGAACGTACCACCACCGAGATCGAAGATGAGGACATGTTGCTCCCCCTTCAGCTTCTTATCGAGTCCGTAAGCTAGGGCGGCAGCGGTGGGCTCATTGATGATTCTGAGGACGTTGAGCCCTGCGATCACACCTGCGTCCTTCGTCGCCTGTCGCTGTTCATCGTTGAAGTAAGCGGGAACAGTGATGACAGCATCGGTGATCTGCTGGCCAAGATAAGCCTCAGCTGTCTCCTTCATCTTGGTCAAGACCATCGAGCTAATTTCTTCTGGAGCCAATGTCTTCTGAAGTCCCATGTACTCTGCCTGCAGCAATGGCCTGCCTCCTTTATTGATGACGGTGAAAGGCCAGTGCTTCATGTCTGATTGAACGTTGTCATCTGTGAACCTCCTCCCAATAAGACGTTTGGCATAAAAGATTGTGTTCTTGGGATTCCTGTAATGATAATGAATAAGAATAATTTATTGTCAGCTGTAATTGATACAAAGCTTAATTACACAAGTATAGGCCATTTTAAGTACATGTACTAATCAGTGTAAGTAGCAGCGCATGTTTTATTATCTAATCATATAATGAGTAATTACAGTAATATATTATAAGAAATGCACAGAATTTAGAACCAGTCATGAAGTGTTGGTGCATAGGACTGTATCATAATCACAATGTGTGATGATATGGTAAAGATGATATACAGGCTTACGCATAGGCGCCGGAAGTGGGGGGGGGGGGGCAAAACGCATTTTTGCCCCCCCCCCCCCCACAGAAAAAAAACGCCCCCCCCCCCCCTCCCTCAAAAAAAAAAAAAAAGCAGTAAAGGAGTAAAGATGGTTTGTGTTTTTAACCCAAAAGAACGTAACAATAATAAAAACCTCACTTAAACAGGGGTGATAGTGAGCACTAAAAAAAAAGTGTTTTTTTTTCCCTCAAGCACGCCCCTCCCCCCCCCCCCCCCCTTGAGTAAAAAAAAAATTCGTGGGGAAATAATGGCATATAACAACATTTTCCCCTTTCGAGTAAGAAAATTGGGAAAAAAATAGGCAAAATAGGGAAGAAAAAAAGAAATCGGGAAAAAATCGGGAAAAATAAATCGGGTTTTTATCAGACCTGCTTAAAGGTAAAGACCAGTATTGGCAACGCCCCAATTTCAAAAAATGAAATGGAAGCTCTCATTACCAATCATGTGAAAGAATATGTTTTGTCTAATACATGATGATAAAAAATTTGCCGGGAAACCGGCTACTAATTCATATATTTGGTAAATTTATTTCTCTCATGGTCTGGTGAGAGAGATAGGGTAGTCCCATATACATCTTTCTGTGTATAGTGCTTGTAACTTTACGAAGAATGGGCCAAATTTCTTATCATTTTGATGATTCCAGAACCTTGCAGATGCTAGATGCTAGATGATCAACCTTTTCTGATCGATTCCACAACGTTTCTTTCACAATGCAATCGCATGACCATTACTGGTCTTTACCTTTAAGTGACTAATAAAATTCCATTCACAGAAAAGGGAAGTTAACAGGAATTAAATTTCCTAAACATTGCGCATGCTACCTATATTAGAGAATGGGAAAGCGTGTCTGTTTTTTGTTATAGGGGTGAGAAGCTCATGAGCCCCTGGAAGCTGGCGTACTGATGGGGGGGGGGGTTATTTTTTATTCGATACCAGTGATTTACAAATGTTGCTGAAGTGACATGATTATTCGGTATTTTTTCTCAATTTTTTTGTAAGTCATACCATTTTATGCGTTTGTTAGAAAATTAGAAATTCACAAATTTACAGTCGGGCGAAAAATATGCTTATCTAGAAGCCTTTATGTCAGGGTCTGCAGAACGGTGGAGCTCGGGGGCTCGAGCCCCCCTCACTTTTTGAAAAAGAAAGAAAAAGAAAGAAAGAGAGAGAGAAAAAAATAGGTGACTTGCCAATGGCACAAATGAGGTATCAAAATATGCTCATCTGACCGTAATTAAATGCCGAAAACCCCAGAGCTTACGGGGGCGGAGCCCCCGGACCCCACCAAGGGCCCTAAGGCGGTCCCCTGTATGCTCATCTGACCGTTATTAGATAACTAAAACCCCTGAGCTTCCGGGGGCTCTGCCCCCTCGACCCCACAAGGGCCCTTAGGCAGTCCCCTGTAGGCTCATCTGACCGTTATTAAATACCTAAAACCCCGAGCTTCCGGGGGCTCTGCTCCCTGGCCTCTCCGCCAATTAGTGTCCTGCCAGTGTCACAAATAAGGTATCTAAATATGCTTATCTGACCATAATTTTAATGCCTAAAACCTCTGAGCTTCTGGGGGCTCAGCCCTTTGACCCTACGCCAATATACGCTCTACCTGATCGTTAATAATCCACTTTGAAAAACTATCCGCGGGGCCTGCATGTAAAGTGTAAGAGTGGTGGTGATGCAGATTTTTCTTCTGCCCCCCCCCCTTCCAAACGTTTTTGCTCGTTACGTCACTGCCCCTGGAAGGTGAGCCCCCTGGAATGTTTGCCCCCCCCCCCCAATTCCAAACTGCTCCCGGCGTGCCTGGGCTTACGGTCGCACCATGTAAGAGAGGGGAAGGATAGGGAAGTACTGAAAAGGACTTTTAGGGTGCGTTCGATCGACACTTTTTCACTCTAGAATCACGATTTTTAAAGACGTTTAGTTTAAAACACGTTTCGTTCAAGCGATTTTTTCGTCGGTCGTAAAAATAAACGTGTTTAAAAACACAAACATGAAACGCTGAAAAAGGTGCGTTTTGTATCATGATTCTACAGAATCACGGTCACGAACGGAGATCTCAATCATTTTTCTATGACGTCATTATCGTGGCCGGTTCCGGTTTGGGCAAAAACCGCGCGCCTGCTTTTCATGCAATTTGCGTTTACTTTACCACGCTCTTTATTGCGATGGCCTGTTCCGCTATGTTATACCTTGTTTTTCTTCTATCTTTTTCTCTGTCTGTCTTTCCTTATGTTATTCTTTGTTTCTTCTTTCTATTCTTATGCTATTCTTTGTTTTTTCCTTCTATCACCTTCTGTTATGTAATTCTTTGTTTTAAGCATTCTATCACTTTCTCTTTCTGTTTTTCCTTGTGTTATTCTTTGCTTCTTCCTTCTATCACTTTCTCTTATGTTATTCTTTGTTTCTTCCTTATATCACCTTCTCTTGTGTTATTCTTTGTTTTCATCATTCTATCACTTGTTATTCATTGTTTTGAACATTCTATTACTTTCTCTTTCTGTCTTTCCTTGTGTTATTATTTGCTTCTTCCTTCTATTACCTTCTCTTGTGTCTTTCCTTATGTTATTCTTTGTTTCTTCCTTCTATCACTTTCTCTTATGTTATTCTTTGTTTTAATCATTCTATCACTTTCTCTTTCTGTCTTTCCTTGTGTTATTCTTTGCTTCTTCCTTCTATTACCTTCTCTTATGTTTTTCTTTGTTTCAATCATTCTATCACTTTCTCTTTTGGTCTTTCATTATGTTATTCTTTGTTTCTTCCTTATATCACTTTCTCTTGTGTTATTCTTTGTTTTCATTATCCTATCACTTTCTCTTATGTTATTCTTTGTTTTAATCATTCTATTACGTTCTCTTTCTGTCTTTCCTTGTGTTATTCTTTGCTTCTTTCTTCTATTACCTTCTCTTATGTCTTTCCTTATGTTATTCTTTGTTTCTTCCTTCTACACTTTCTCTTATGTTATTCTTTGTTTTAATCATTCTATCACTTTCTCTTTCTGTCTTTCCTTGTGTTATTCTTTGCTTCTTCCTTCTTTTACCTTCTCTTATGTTTTTCTTTGTTTCAATCATTCTATCACTTTCTCTTTTTGTCTTTCATTATGTTATTCTTTTTTTCTTCCTTTTATCACCTTCTCTTATGTTATTTTTTGTTTTCATCATTCTATCACGTTCTCTTATGTTATTCTTTGTTTTAATCATTCTATCGACTTTCTCTTTCTGTCTTTCCTTATGTTATTCTTTGTTTCCATCATTCTATCGCTTTCTCTTATGTTATTCTTTGTTTTATTCATTCTATCACGTTCCCTTTCTGTCTTTCCTTATGTTATTCTTTGTTTTAATAATTATATCACTTTCTCTTTCTGTCTTTCCTTATGTTATACTTTGTTTCTTACTTCTATCACCTTCCATTCTTTGTTTTATTATTGCGATCTATGCTCAAAACAGCAGTCGACAGTCGGCCGTAAACAATTCCAGAAAGCGCGCACCGAAGTTGTTCTATACTTCCTGGGTCAAACTGCGCAGTGTGATGCGCAGTGGCTGGGCTCGAAATGAGCTAGAATCAGCGTTAATGGAAAATCGCTTTAACGCTTTCCCGCAGTGACCTTGTTTTGTAACGGCGCTTTGATTTGTGATTCATGTTTGTGATTCTAGCTTCGAAAAATCGCTTGAACGCACCCTTAGTAATCTTTCTTGAGCTTATAATTCTACAGATGTATAGCGCCGGTTGGAGAGGATGGGCATTAGGAGGGGCTCGACGTTTCGAACAGGTTGACTAACCGTCATCAGGAGTGGGGAATATGAAATGTTATAAAATACTTACGTTGCCACCTGATTCATTGCAGCATCACCGATCAATCTTTCTGTATCTGTGAAGGCAACACAACTGGGTGTGGTCCGGTTTCCTTGATCGTTAGCAATGATCTCCACCTTCCCATTCTGAAAGACCCCAACACAAGAATAGGTGGTACCCAAATCAATTCCAATCGCTGGTGCTTTTCCTGGTGCCATTTTATCGTTCTTGTAGAAGTTTTTGATGAAAAAAATGTTTCCAAATGTAAAATTCTCACTGATTAAACCGTCTGCAAATATCTGTATCCGTATGTGTTTGATAAATTATTTGCAGGAATTCTGGTCTCAAAGTGTTTGAACAGCTGTAGAAATAAAACAATATCGTAGTAGAATTTTGCAGTTGAAAATATCTGCCTTTTTTACACTCAGAGAGTCGTGTGAAGTCGATGTTCTAATTGGAACGTGGCACCAAACACAGCATCTAGAGCAGTTTCTAGTCAGAAAAGCTTCGAGAGTGAACACAATAATACTAGATACACAATTAACAACAAGAACTGCGACTTAAAAGGAGGGAAGTGGGAAAAACCCAGCTTGTTCTCGAACATTTGGCCGCGTCGACATGACGTCGTAGTAGACTGTGCTCTCTTCTCGGCAGATATGCGACGGCATCCTAAAAATACGTCACAAGCAAACAGTAATTGACAACAGTCTGTATTGGTGTATTGGGGATTGTTTCGTGGGTACGTATTGACAAGAAAAGAAATCAATCTCTATATACCACTGTGATAGAAACCCACAGTCAACATGTCATGTATTATCTAGATATTAATTTACTGACTTATTCATTTTTCTAAATAAATCTATAAAATGATGTAGTTTGATTATTAGAAAGAAATAAGAACATGCCTAAGTAAAGAATGGCTGACCAGAATTTCAAATGTGGATAAATTAGTACCTCCCCCAGGCGCGCCGGAAGCAGTTTGGGATGGGGGGGGGGGGGCAAACATTTCAGGGGGCTCAACTACCAGGGGCAATGGCGTAATGAGCAAAAACGTTTGGAAGGGGGGGGGGCAGAAGAAAAATCTGCATCACCACCACTCTTACACGCTACATGCAGGCCCCGCGGAACGTTTTTTTAAAATGGAGTATTAACGATCAGGTAGAGCGTAAGTTGTGGTGGGGGTCCAGGGCTTGAGCCCCGGCAGGGAGTTCAAGGGGCTGTGCCCCTGGAAGCCCTTGGTGGAGTCCAGGGGGCAGGACCCCGAACGCTCGGGGATTTTAGGTATTTAATTACGGTCAGATGAGCATCTAGGGGACCGCCTTAGGGCCCTTGGTGGGGTCCGGGGGGCGGAGCCCTCGTAAGCTCTGGGGTTTTAGGCATTTAATTACGGTCAGATGAGCATATTTTGACACCTCATTTGTGACATTGGCAGGTCACTTATGCAGGCCCTGACATGAAAATGTCAAATTTTGGAATTTCCAATTTTTCCAACAAACAAAATTGAGGAAAAAATACCGGAAATCATGTCATTTCAGCAACATTTGTAATTCACTGGTATCGAATAAGAAATACTCCCCCCCCCCCCCCTATCAGTACGCCAGCGTTCAGGGGCTCATGTCTTCCCACCCTATAACCAAAAAAAAACACGCTCTCCCATCCTCCCACAATATTTCCACGATATGCGCGTATCGCTATTATAAAAACCTCCATCGAAAGATATAGGTGGCATGCAGAATTTTTAGGAAATTTGATTCCTGTTAATTTTTCTTTTCTTTGAATGGAATTTTATATGTGATTTAACTCACGTTTTATTATTGTTTTGTTCTTTTGGGTTAAAAATACAAACCATGTTTACCCCTTTACTGCTTTTCTTCTTTTTTTGGAGGGGGGGCATTTTTTTGTTGTTGGTTGTAGGGGGGCACTCTGCCCCTCCACTTCCGGCGCCTATGCCCTCCCCCCACTCTCTCTCTCTCTCTCTCTCTCTCTCTCTCTCTCTCTCTCTCTCTATTTATCTGTAGTCGGGGGGGGGGGTACTTACATAAATATATCATGACATGCGGGGATGTGCCGCTCTAATGGGTCGTTTTTCACAAAAATGGGTCCATTTTCCAAAAAAAAAATTGGGGGTTTGCATGGCGAACACCAGAATATAAAAAATGAGCCTGTATTTGGCGAAAAAAAACCTATATTGGGTACCCTTTTCTGCCAAAATGACCGAACCAAACCTAGTCTCCCTCTTCATCTCTCTGGTCCACTCCTTTTAACATCCATAATTATGTAGGAGCTCTTCCTCTTTCTTTTCCCCTTTCAAAATACCATAATTATGATAAAGCTCAGATAATTATGTAGGTCTACTGTAAGATGTACAAGTTTTTTCCTTTGTTTATCAAATCAGTGATAAACTTTATTCACTATATCATAATGTATACACATAAACATTTTCTATGAATAATAATTTTGATAACAAATGAAACTACTAATATGGTAACCTTAAAAAGAATGAATATGCTTATGCCAATGTTCTTAAATTTAAGTTCTAAAATATTGCTTTGAACTTTATATTTCCTTAACAAATGCTGCTCGTGACGTCCGAGATTTTTGCTCGTGGCTTGACCGACATTTTTCATTTCATTTATTTCCACAATAACAGCAAGTACAATTTACAAAGTCATTCCAATTAAAATATTAACCTACGAGAAATATACATAATTATGGTACATGCAATGCAGTAAAAGTACACAATGAATAGAGACTTAGAAGATGTTTGCTTGCTATATTGCGGAGGAAACTTAGGAAAGCATAGCTTGTAATTTAGATTCCCTAACATAAAATATCATGGTACAATGTATCATAAAGTAGAAAATACAAGGAAAAGATGGGGAAAACGGGACGAAACAAAACAAGACAATACAATCATGACAAGCACAAGAAAAGGACACTGAAGTTTGCATTCTGCAGCTACCGTGCACTAAAATCATTGCGCGACATTGGTTGCTATAAACCAAATCCCAAGGCAAAATGTATATTTGATTTGATTTGATTTCTACATTTTTTCCTTATGAAATATAGCTGAATAACTAAGAACATATAAATGTAAGGTATAATACAACATAAACAAACAATAATTTCTTCATGTCAAAATGTATTTTTTACATAAGATATGTACATATAATAACGAAACTTAATATTTCCATAACATATAATCATAAATTTAAAGTATTATCCGAACTATTCTGTTGGAAAAGTGCAGGAGACCGCAAAGTGTTACATTGATTCTTTAAAAGTAGCTTTAACTTCAGATTACGTTTAAATGCAAACAGACTTGGTGAGACTAATCAAGAGAATTCCAAAAGATCGGGCCAGCGTAGCCGATTAAAGTTTTCTTTAGACAAAGAGTTTTTAACATTGGAATATGGTAATAAGAAGATTGTCTTGTTGGGTAATCGAGGAATCTCTCGGGTTTTTTTGAACAACAAAGTTAATGCATGAGGCAACTCGTCCAGATTCAGTTGATACACAATAAAACCCAGACGCAGATTATGTAAATCAAATATTTTTAAAGCAATAATGCAATAAAACAATTGATCTGAACGGACTAATCTGTTCTTATGACAAATTATTCTCATTGCCCTCTTTTGTAGCAACAATAATTTATACAGTTGATTTTTGGAGGAGTTGCCCCATGCTAATGTCCCATAATTCAAATATTGAAGGATAAGGGTACTATGCAAATTAAGCAATATATTGGAGGGAAATATCATTTTTAGTTAATTACTCCAACATTTCTAGACTACCTTGATGAATGGTAGATATACTCTGCCATGAGATAGCTATACAATTACATTAAAGGAGAAAAAGTACTCAAATGACTAGTCATCTAGAACATTAATTGAATAAGATATACAGTTATTTTTCTAAAGCATATTAACAAAAATTTCGTCAGTTTTAACAGTTGATGTTAAATTATAATATAATATAAAATATATTTTTGGATCTGATTTGTCAAAGTTAAGGTTAAAATTACACTTGGCCTGAAATGTAAAAGGAATTCCATGATGACGGCTGTCATTTAATCCATTTCATCACTAGTAGGCCCACCACTGCCTGATTACGATGAGTTGGCTTATTGTCCCGGGTAACCTGAGTTACTGCCTGCGTGTAACTTAGCCATGATGGGAGAGCATGTCTTCTGCAACTCTTTCAACTTGAACGACAATTCTTCCTTCTTTGCCAAAGAGTTGTTATCCATCCAAGTGATGACGTCATCAAATGCTTTTATTACGAAATCCTTGTCGCTGGAGCTGACCTGGCGCTCTACCGATGCGTCATTGATTGCGGACTTGACGTTGTAGGCAAAGCTCTCGAGTTGGTCCCTGGCCGCGATGCGTTCTCGCTGAGCATCGTCTTCGGCCTTGAATCTCTCGGCATCGTTGATCATGCGCTCGATTTCATCTTTAGATATCCTTCCTCTATCGTTGGTGATGGTGATCTTGTTGCTACGACCCGTGCTTTTGTCCTTGGCAGTGACGTCCATGACGCCGTTGGCGTCGATGTCGAAAGAGACTTCGATCTTAGGGACGCCCCGAGGTGCAGGACGGATACCGGAAAACCGAAACTGGCCAAGTCGATTGTTTTCTTTAGTCATAGCTCTTTCCCCTTCGAACACTTTGATGGTAACGGCAAGCTGGTTGTCAGCAGTAGTAACGAAATCTTCGGCTGCCTTTGTAGGGATTGCTGTGTTCCTATCAATGAGCTTTGACATCACACCTCCTTTTACTTCAATGCCAAGAGAGAGAGGGGTCACATCGACTAGAATAACGTCTTTGATTTCTTCGCTTGGGTCATTAGATAGGATGGCAGCTTGGACAGCAGCACCATAGGCGACAGCTTCATCAGGATTGATAGACTTGTTCAGATCCTTGCCGTTGAGGTATTCCTGGAAAAGCTTCTGGATCTTCGGGATTCGTGTTGATCCACCGACAAGTACCACGGTGTCAATCTTGTTCTTGTCGATCTTAGCATCAATGATGGCCCTCTCCACTGGCTGGAGACACTTTCTGAAGAGATCTGAACACAGCTCCTCGAAGCGTAGTCTGCTGACACTGGTGGAGAAGTCGATACCTTCGTAGAGTGAGTCAACGTGGATGTTTGCCGAAGGACTGCTTGACAGTGTTCTCTTTGCTCGCTCCGCTGCTGTGCGGAGGCGACGAAGCGATTTTTGGTTGGAACTCATGTCTTTCTTATGCTTTCGCTTGAACTCCTCGGCAAGATGATGGACTAGTCTGTCATCGAAGTCTTCTCCTCCGAGATGTGTATCACCGGCTGTCGAAATTACTTCGAAGATACCTTCATCGATAACCAAGATCGAGACATCGAACGTACCACCACCGAGATCGAAGATGAGGACATGTTGCTCCCCCTTCAGCTTCTTATCGAGTCCGTAAGCTAGAGCGGCAGCGGTGGGCTCGTTGATGATTCTGAGGACGTTGAGGCCAGCGATCACACCTGCGTCCTTCGTCGCCTGTCGCTGTGCATCGTTGAAGTAAGCGGGAACAGTGATGACGGCATCGGTGATCTGCTGGCCAAGATAAGCCTCAGCTGTCTCCTTCATCTTGGTCAAGACCATCGAGCTAATTTCTTCTGGAGCCAATGTCTTCTGTTCTCCCATGTACTCTGCCTGTAGCATTGGCTTGCCTCCTTTGTTGATGACGGTGAAAGGCCAGTGCTTCATGTCTGATTGCACGTTGTCATCTGTGAATCTCCTCCCAATAAGACGTTTGACATCAAAGATTGTGTTCTTGGGATTCCTGTAACGATAATAAATAAGAATAGGTTATTGTCACATGTAATTAATACATAGCTTAATTACACGAGCATAGGCCGTTGTAAGTACATGTACTAATCAGAATAAGTAGCAGCGCATGTTTTATTATCCAATCAAAAAATAAGTAATTACAGTTATATATTATAAGAAATGCACAGAATTTAGAACCAGTCATGAAATGTTGGTGATAAGAGAGTATCATTACAATTTCAAGCGAATATTGAAAGGAAAAATGACGAAAATCTAACAAAATTTTGCTCCCTGTTCCCTGTTAAACTCTTTACTGTACACTTTCAAATTACTGCATGGTCACCCTTTTTGGGAGATTAAAGGTAATACAAAGTTTTAGGAAATTTTGAAAATTGGGTGGACAGTGATTCTGTACAATTTTGATATAATTAGATGCCCCTGGATGTATTATACTCACTAGAAAATTAAGCCCCTAAAACACTTCTGCTTTCGAGAAAAATTGAATATACAAAATTACCGGTGCTCCCGGTAAATATTGATAAAATTTCAAATAGCGCCTACGGCAATAGAATGGTAGCTGCGACCATGAAAATCTCAGAATATGTAGTTGTGATATATAACTTCCAAACGGGAATAGTTAATCGGTCGATTTTAGTCAAGAAACATCGTTAAGTAGCTTAATTAATATTTTGACCTTGAGAGGGAGCTATTAACATACAGAGTGTATTATTTACAATTTCATAACTTTAGACTCGATTTCATCCGCTACAATGATCACTGAATGTTGTAGGATCGCATATGCTTCCAATTTTATGTTCATTTGAACCAAATTCATGACCCCATACCAAAACTTTGTATTACCTCTAAAGATACTATGTCCCTTTTTGCAGCCAATATCGAATTCTGTAGAACTTTGCAGGAATTATGAATATGTCATGTATGTCCTATAGTGAGATTTGAACGTTAGCAGTGTCCTAATATTCAAATTATGCAGTGAAACCTGTTTACTTGCTAGACTTCACTGTCAGACACTATTGAGTGACTGACTGGCTTTTCTTCTTCTTTGGTAATAACATACATAAAATGAGCTGTAAAGGGTACATGAGCATTAATTTTGTCTACATCAATAACCCACTTCTTGTAATGGCCAAAATTAAACTGATTGTTTACGTACGACCATTCGGTACAATGGTCTGAAAATCAGACTATTACTTACTGGCTCTATAGCTCTTAAGTCGATTCGACAACTAATAGCCTTTATTTTCCCACTAAAAGACATTTTCAAGCCCCCCCCCCTCCCCCAGGGGGGTTCTAAATTAGTATTATCTTTCAAATGCCATTGGAATTTACCCTTTTCATTTTTTGGCCTGCAAGTGGGACATAGTACCATGTAATACCTAGTGAGATTCTAGTTTATAAAAAGATGTTTTAATTCGTCCACCCGTCATTGAAATGATATATTTTTCAATTCTAGTTCTAGATAAACAATTGTTTAAACATAGAAAATGTTAGGTGCTGCTTATAAGTATCGGCTTGCATAGTGATGTTGATATACAGGCTTACGGTTGCACCATGTGAGAGAGGGGAAGGATAGGGGAGTCCTGGAAAGGACTGTCTGTCTCTTCTTGAGGGTACGGTGTGTGTAGTACCGAAAAGGACTTTTGGTAATCTTTCTCGAGCTTATAATTCTAAAGATGTATAGCGCCGGTTAGAGAGGATGGGCAGTAGGAGGGGCACGACGTTTCAAACAGGTTGACTATCCGTCGTCAGGAGTGCGGAATAGTAAACAAATATACCATGGTTTGAACATATTTGTGGCTTACACCCAGTAAATATGTTCAAACTATTGAAATTTCTCCCAGGAAGCATTACATTTATTTACAAAAAATATACCATGCACTGAGAGGCTCTTGTTGAAATTATAGATCGAGGTGGCAGGAATAGCACTATTTTCTGAGGGGCGTAGCCCCGAAGAAAATAGTGGTTTTTTTTGTCGCCGAGGAATCCATAATTTCACTAGTGGCTTGAAATAGTGCATGATATATTTGTTTTATATTTTTCAAACCAACCTTATGTATTAAATATCAATACTAATGTTTACTGTCACTGAAGTTGTGTATAGTGCAGGTGCTCTGGCTGGTGAGAGCAGCGCAGACGGACATACCGCGACCGCGCCCGAAAGCACATAGATCTTGATCGATCGCATATGTATGACGTCACCCATGGTATAGTGCTATGGTGTAGTGCACTATACCATGGATGACGTCACGGTTACATCATAGCAATGTTATGTTGGGGTCACGTGATGCTCTGTTAAACAATCACTGGACAGGATTTCATTGATCAAAATTATAAAAAATGTTGTAATAAACTTACATTGCCACCTGATTCTTTGCAGCATCACCGATCAATCTTTCTGTATCTGTGAAGGCAACATAACTGGGTGTGGTTCGGTTTCCTTCATTGTTAGCAATGATCTCTACCTTCCCATTCTGAAAGACCCCAACACAAGAATAGGTGGTACCCAGATCAATCCCAATCGCTGGTGCTTTTCCTGGTGCCATTTTATTGTTCTTGTATCAGTTTTTGATGAAAAAACTGTTTCAAAATGTAAAGTTCTCACTGATTAAACCGTCTGCAAATATCTGCGTATGTTTAACAACTATCAGCAGGAATTCTGGGCTCAAAGTGTTCAAACAGCTGTAGAAATAGAACAAATATCGTAGAAGAATTTTGCAGTTGAAAATATCAGCCTACTTTTCTCTCAGAGAGTCACCAAACACCGCGTATAGAGTGGGAAAAACCCAGCTTGTTCTCAAACGTCCGCCGCGACACTGACACGACTAGTATTGTGACGTTATAGTATAGTAGACTTTGCTCTCTTCTTGCCATATTATTATGCGACGTGCATAATACTAAAAACACGTTACAAGCAAACAGTAATAGATAACAGTCTGTACGTTGTATGGTGGACAAGAAAATCTCTACCACTGTGACAGAAGCCCACAGGGAACATGTCATTTATTATCTAGGTAGTTATTCTACTGACTTATTCTTTTTTCTAAATAAATCGAAATCAATAATTTCTGCAAAATTATGTAGTCATTAGAAAGAAATAAGAACAGGCCTATTAAAGTAAAGAATGGCTGACTAGAATTTCAAAAGTGAATAAGTTACTTGTCTATACCCCCTCCCTATCTCTCTCACGCGCGCGCTCTCTCTCTCTCTCTCTTTCTCATCCAGAACACCTAACACTATCTCACATTCCCCTATTCGCTCTCTTCCTCTCTATCCCTCTCTGTGTCTCTCATTGTCACGTTCTGTTTCAGTATATTGATCTCAGTTGAACACAAGTGACATGTGCCACATCAAAAAAAATTCTCACCTCCTCTCTATCTGTCTGTCTGTCTGTCTCTCTCTCTCTCTCTCTCTCCTTCCTCGTCTCTCTATTTCTCACCTTTCTATCTCTCTATCTCAACTCTTCTTCATTATCTCTCTTATCACAATCTCTTTTCCATCTGTCTTTATACCTCTCTTCTCTCCCTCTCCTCCTCCGTCTCCCCTCCCCCTCTTTATCTTCCTCCCCCCTCTCTCTCTCTCTCTCTCCCTCTCTCTGTCTGCAGTCTCTCTGTGAAGTCTCCCTCTTCTCCTAACTGTTCCACTCCTTTTGACATCCATACTTATATAGATACTCTTCTATTTCTTTCCCTTTCCAAAAATACCATCTAATAAACCAGATAATACGATGTACAAGTTTTTTCCTTTTCTTATCAAATAAGTAATATACTTTATTCACTTAAGCATAATACACATAATTTTTTTTAAATAAATAAGTTGATAACAAATAAAAATACTAATATGGTAAGCTTTAAAATAAATTTAATTCCTGAACAAACACCATTTGGTACGACCCAGTTATTAATTGCTCGTGACTTGACCGAAATAGAGCAAAATAGATTACATACACTCCACTATGGCGTCGCTATACAAATACAAAAAAGGGTGCAAAACATACTAAATGACTAGTCATCTGGAATATTATTTGAACAAAATAAACAGTTTTTTTTAAAGCATTATGACGAGAAATTCGCCAGTACAAGCAGTTGATGTGAAATTTAATTTACATTTATGAGCTACATAACTCTAATAACATAATTTAAAGCATACATTTGGGATCTGATTTGTCAAATTTAACTCGTTAACATCACACTTGACCCGACGTGTAAATGGAAATCCATTGTAAATATTTCCATTTTTTCATCGCTTTTATATAGCGCTTTACATTGACAATGTCTCTAAGTGCTTAAAAAATATATATTATTATCCCGTTCATCAGATTCAGGCTTGTCCGAAAACAATTTAAGCACAATCTCTGCTCCCTTGGGAGTGTTCCAGTCAGGCGACATTTAATAGACGCTCAAAATGCTGAGCAAACTACATTAACGTTTGCATCCTACTTGATGCCCATTAACGCATGGGCGGAGAGTGGCAAAAGTAGATTATCGACTTGCCAAAGGACGTTAGTGCCGGGCTGAGATTTGACCCCGTACCTTGTATTCTGCGGGCGGGTGACTTATCCACTAGACCACAACACCTATGATGACGATTGCTGGAATTTAATCCACCTCATCAACAGTAGGCCCACCACTGCCTGATGACGATGAGTTGGCCTGTGGTCCAGGGTGATCCGAGTTGCTACCTGCGTGTAATTTAGCCATTATGGGAGAGCATGTCTTCTGCAACTCTTCTAACTTGAACAAGAATTCTTCCTTGTTTGCCAAAGAGTTGTTATCCATCCAAGTAACGACGTCATCAACTGCTTTTGTCACAACTTCCTTGTCGCTGGAGCTAAGCTTGTTCTCTACCGATATTGATTGCAGACTTGACGTTGAAGGCATAGCTCTCGAGTTGGTTCCTGATGGCGATGCGTTCCCGCTGAGCATCATCTTCGGCCTTGAATCTCTCGGCATCGTTGATCATGCGATCAATGTCTTCTTTAGATATCCTTCCGCTGTCGTTGGTGATGGTGATCTTGTTGCTACGACCCGTGCTCTCGTCCTTGGCAGTGACGTTCATGATGCCGTTGGCGTCGATGTCGAAAGCGACTTCGATCTTAGGGACGCCCCGAGGTGCAGGAGGGATACCGGATAACTCAAACTGGCCAAGTCGATTATTGTCTTTGGTCATAGCTCTTTCTCCTTCGAGTACTTGGATGGTGACGGCTGGCTGGTTGTCAGAGTAGGTTGTGAATGTCTGGGTTGCCTTTGTTGGGATTCTTGTGTTCCTCTCAATGAGCTTTGTCATCACACCTCCTGCTGTCTCAATTCCAAGAGAGAGAGGAGCCACATCGACTAGAAGAATATCTTTGATTTCTTCGATCTGGTCGCCAGAGAGGATGGCAGCTTGGACAACAGCACCATAGGCAACAACTTCATCAGGATTGATAGACTTGTTCAGATCCTTGCCGTTGAGGTATTCCTGGAGAAGTTTCTGGATCTTTGGGATTCGTGTTGATCCACCGACAAGTACCACGGTGTCAATCTTGTTCTTGTCGATCTTAGCATCAATGATGGCCCTCTTTACTGGCTGCAAACACTTTCTGAAGAGATCTGAACACAGCTCCTCGAATCGTGCTCTGCTGACACTGGTGTAGAAGTCGAAGCCTTCGTATAGTAAGTCAACTTCGATGTTTGCTGAAGCACTGCTTGACAGTGTTCTTTTTGCTCGCTCCGCTGCTGTGCGGAGGCGACGAAGCGATCTTGGGCTGGACCTCATGTCTTTCTTATGCTTTCCCTTGAACTCCTCAGCAAGATAATCGACTAGTCTATCATCGAAGTCTTCTCCTCCGAGATGAGTGTCACCGGCTGTCGATTTCACTTCGAAGATATCATCATCAATGACCAGGATCGAGATCGAAGATGAGGACATATTGCTCCTCCTTCAGCTTCTTATCGAGTCCGTAAGCGAGGGCGGCAGCGGTGGGCTCGTTGATGATTCTGAGGACGTTGAGGCCAGCGATCGCACTTGCGTCCTTCGTCGTCTGTCACTGTTCATCGTTGAAGTAAGCGGGAACAGTGACGACGGCATCCGTGATCTTGAGGGCAACTAGACAGTTAGAGAATAAAATGCATTTCCACATTGTTTTGAGCCCTTGAAATGCATGTCCAAATTTAATACAATCAATACAATTTTTCTCGAATTTTACCCAGAAGCATTTTGTATGTCCACGAAAAGTATCGTTTTACCTTACAATATGAAAATCTCAGTTGCCATATATTTGATCGTGTTCGGTATTCCAGACTTTACATTTTCCATTGGCACTTAATACTATCTAAATGCAACTCTTCCCTCTCCCTACCCTTTCTCTCTCTCTCTCTCTCTCTCTTCCGCTTTCATGCTTATGTTCCGCTATTCCACTATGCATTGTTCACATATTTTTTGGGGGTTAACATGTTTTGCTTATAACAAGGACGTGAGTCCAAGCTTAGCTCGTGGCGACCCCTTTTCTCTATGTGTGATTTTATTAGACCATAATTATGATGTTAACAAATCATACATTTATGATGATATATATTGAAAAAATCGAACAAGAAACTAGGAATCAATTTATTTGGCCTAATACTCCATTTCTCTCTTCCCTTTGATTCAAGGTTCTTAAATTATTCATCGAAGTTAACAGGTGAACTTTGCAAATGGAAGACAAAAATAACTAGCCAACCTATTGTCTCACGTACTTTTAAAAAAAAATTATGTGTTTTATTAAACAATAAAAAAAACAATCACAATATTTACAAATTATTATAAAAACATTACAAAAAAGCAGTAAAACGCAGATCAAAACCTCACGAAAAGTAAATTTACAACATTTACAACATTATAAAACAGGATTATAAGACAAACTTCCATTTTTTAAAGTGCAAGGGCAGTTTGTTTTTCTTTTTTGCAATACGATATTCAAGATCTTTATTATAGTCTATGTAAGTTCTGAAATCCTGAAAATTGAGTATTTTACTTTGAAATTTGCATAAATAAATGTAGTATTTAAGCATAAGAAATAAATACGTCAAAAACATATCCTTTTCATAGCCAAACATTCTTTCAAATATTGAAAAATTCATTACTTTATTAATCTTCTGATTAATAGTTTTAATGGTATCATCCCAAATGGATTTTACAGTCTGACATTCGATGAAAATATGTAGGTAAGTCTCGGGTTCATTATCGCAAAATGAACAATTAAGAGAATTCTTTCGTTTAATTTTGAACAAAAAGTTATTTAATGCTATGGCTTTATGAAATAGTTTGAAATAAAATGAACGAATGCGATTGCTTATAGAACATTTGAAATTATCAATATGAATCTTGTCCCAATCAACAGGGTTAGGGTCAGAAAGTTCTTTCCAGAATGTTAATTTCTTTTCGGGAACATGTGGCTCTAGTATGACATTATAAGCATATTTGGGAACCTTCCTAGCTTGCACAAGTGTATTGACAAAGGCATCAAAGATTACATCATGATTAAGATCTGATGAGAACAACCAATCAGAAGGAACATTTTTCATAAGAAAATTGTATTTCCTCCTATCCCTAGGATTAAATATCGTAATCAAGTATCAATTCTTCAAAAAGTTTGCTACCAGGGTGAGGAGGATTAAGCAAATCAGTTATAAAAATAATACCTTTATCAATCCAACCCTGATACAAAAAATAATTTTTGGATTTTGAGCTAATATTCTTATTAAACCAAATACATTGACAAGATCCAATTGAACAAAAAGCCATATCAAATTCAGCTTTCACAGAGTTTTCTCTAAAAATGTACCACGTTCGAAGGGAATCAGCTAATTGACTCGAGTATAATTTGTTCAAAATTTGGTCCGGGGCATGAGCCTTCCATAAAATGTTCTTTTCTTTATTGAACTTTACTAAAACAGAAAGCTCAATGGATTTCCATAAGCTTATATAATTATCGTCTAGTAGCATCTTCACCCAAGACATTTTCTGAGCAATAGTATATGAATAGGGGTCAATCATTTTTAAACCACATAACGAATAA